CCCAGCCGCTGCCTTGAATCCTCGCAGGTTCAAGAGCTGCTGGAAAAGGCGTCGGACTCCAGGGTAAGCGCGTGGGTCCCTCCACCTGGTTTTCCGTGCGCTGCTGAGGTGTCTTCAGCAAAGTCCTGCCTTTTGTGAGAGACCCGGTGACGGAGGATCTGCTGCTTGATCTGCTTTGGAAAAAGCCTTCCTGTTTCTCTAGAGACACGGTGGGGTCGGTCCTAGCACTTCTGCCTGTTCTCCCTGGACCCTTCTTGCCCTGCTCGCTGCCGAGGGTCCTGCAGACGTGGTGCCTTAGTCCCAGAGCATCAGTCTGCACAGCCCCTCTCCTCCTGTGCTTTCCATGCTGGAGATAACACGTACAGAACCGGTACTGACTCAGTTTGGGGCAGGGAATCGTCATTTTCTGATTCTTCAGCTACAAAAGAGCTTTGCCTTCCCCATCCACCTTGTGATCCGCAGTCCTGTCCCTGCTCCAGAATGAGACAATCTCCATTCATTCCATGTGTCCTGCCCAAGCCCTGTTTTTCAGGGAAAACCAAAGCAACCTGCATGTCTGGAACTCTGGTTTGCAGGCAAACCAAGACCCGAGTATTGCTTGGAGGAAGAGGAAATTATCATTCAGACCCGATTAACTGTTCCTTTCTGTTCTCAGATTCTGTCATCTTGTCCGGAGATTAAGTGGCATTTTATTGGCCATCTGCAGAAAAATAACGTCAACAAATTGATCGGTAAACTCTATTTAACTTTATGTGCAGAGCCCATGGGCAATAGCCTTGCAGTGTTCACACAAACGACCCTTGTTTATCCGTGTATATTGCTGATTTCAAGCCCGAAAGAAATCTGATGCTAATCCACGGATCTTCCCCTGTCTCTCCCCAAAAGGGGCACAGTCTTATTATGGAGGGAATCATTAATCAAGAGCTGTGGTTGGGGAGGCAAACGGTGTTGCATGCCTTAGCTGCAAGGTTAAGAACAGGCAGAGGACTTTGGCAGGTAGTTCATGGGTGTCTGAGCGGGCTGAGTTTCTAGATGTAGCAGCTTCTGTGCCAGCAGAGTTGTCCCAACCTTGTCTTTTCTCCCTAGCTGTCCCTAACCTCTTCATGCTGGAAACGGTGGATTCAGTGAAACTGGCGGACAGAGTCAACAGCTCGTGGCAGAAAAAAGGGTCCACTCACAAGCTGAAAGTCATGGTGCAAGTGAACACTAGCGGAGAAGACAGTAGGTATCTGGACACTCTTCATGGTGACGTGCACGTTGTCCTGCTGACTCGCAGGAGAAACCACCTGCTGTGATTGGGTTGCTTTGCTCTCCCGAAGAGCTCCTTTAATCTGGAAAGAAAGTCAACTTGCTCTTAAGAGGAGTTTTGGTGAAAAGGTTGATCCGAGCTGATCCCCTTCTACCTGCCTGTGGCAAGGGGACTTCTCTGGCAGAGTCTGACCTGCATCACTCCTTTTTCTTTTCATTTCTTCGCCAGGTAAGCATGGCCTGCCTCCCAGAGACACCGCAGCAGCTGTGGAGCATATCATCAACAAGTGTCCAAGCCTGGAATTTGTGGGGCTGATGACGATTGGCAGCGTTGGCCACGACCTTAGCAAGGGGCCGAATCCTGATTTCCAGGTGAGAGTCTCTAGAAGAAAACTGGGTGCAGGGGGCTGCGTCAGGCCGAGGAATTGGGTCTGTGTGGCCTGTCCTGCTGGTGTCCTGCCACGTGCCATCCTCTCCTCTCCCCTGCCTTCCAGATGCTGCTGTCGCTGCGGCAGGAGGTGTGTGAGAAGCTCAACCTGCCCCTGGAGAAGGTGGAGCTGAGCATGGGCATGTCCACGGACTTCCAGCACGCAGTAAGCCTGGGCTCGCTCTGCCACCCTTTCTTTTAGCAGCTAGGTGCCCTCGCCTGCAGCAGCCACCCAAAAATCCACCCATACCTCATCCACACAGGCCTCGTAGGCCTCTCCTTGCATGGAGATCCATCCTGATGGTGCTGGGCCGTGAAAAACAGCTCTCCTTGCCCTGGCATGCACTTCTGGGGATCAAAATAGACCCTTGTAGCTACAGTTAGCAAGTACAAGGGGAACTGTCCCTCTGTAGCCTGGCAAATGTCTAGGTTGTTTGGGGGCTGTGCTGGCAGCCCTGTATTGAACTCTGCCTTTTGTCTCCTCTTCGTAGATAGAGGTGGGATCCACGAACGTCAGGATCGGAAGCACAATTTTTGGAGAGCGAGATTATTCCAACAAAGCAGGTGGTGGCAAAGCCCTTGCTGAAAGCGAAGGTAAAACGGAGGCCTTGACAGTGCAGGATCATTAAAACGGGATAAAAAGTGGCCTCGCCAGAGGACAGATGATGGGAGACCTCACTATGCATTCTTACCTCCCTCCGTGTCGGCACCCGATCATGATGGTGAGAGGAAATTCCTCGTAATAGAATAGAGGCCAGAAACGCCTCGTAATTTATTGTGATTTTAGAGTCCCCATAGAAACTGGAACCTTTGTAACCAGCAAATGGTAAGAAAAAACATGGTTGAAAGCGACTTTAGTACCGTAGCTACTCCAGGCTGCTTAAGAACAATTTAATTTTGGAAAAAGTGGGTTAAAAAAGAAATAATTATCTGTAAGAACAGAGTTGTTAATGAGCAGGATATATCCACAGCAGTGTCAAAGATTGTTTTCACTGAGGAGTAAATTCCTCACTAACAAGTTTTATTCTTGCCAGAGACCTACAAATATTTCCTTTCCTCGAGTAAAGGTTTTGCACATGGCTGCAGCTGGGGGGTTGCTTAAATCGCAGCTATGTGACAGGGACATATTGTAACACGTAGCTGGCTCCGAGTGGCACCGCAGAGACGATTCACTCTGAGGAGGGATGACAAGAACTCGAGGATGAATAAGGACCAGCTGCCAGCGGGAGCTCGTGGCGTAACGTTTTGGGTGCAGGTTGCAAGTCACTGCTAACTTCCACTGTTGGTGACACTCTTGTGTCTCCTGGGATGCTTCCAGCCTCCCCGTCCCCTCTCGTGTTGTTGGGAATCTCATCCTGCCTAGCTCGGGATGCTCCAGGTTATTTTTGGTGTGAGCGGGGCTGTTCTTCAGGCTCCTTGGTCTGTCTCGGATTTGCTGTCACGTCCCCAGTCGGGGCCTCAGCTACCCCCTCTCCGCCTGTACCAGGATCGTAGTGCTCATCTTGGGGAAGCAGGGAAGTTTGCTTGTTTGCCAGAGGGGAAAAGGAGTTCGGAAAGTCAAGTATTATCATTCCACTGTGTTCCCAAAAAATCCTTTCATCACAGACAGAGTTTCCAGACATTTCTTCATAAATTTAAGTGCTGGTCTGACTTTTCCTTCCCCTGGACGAGGGCAGCAGGACTCTTCCATCGCAGTAGCTGTATCATTAAGATGTGAGTAAAGCCCCTGTGTTCCGCCGTGTGCCGTTTGGCCGACTGTAGCCACATCCCTTACAACAACCTGCTCCGGGTTCCTGCGCGTGGCTGGAGGAGACACAGCCGGCAGCAACACCCTTCCCTGCTTCTCCGTGTGTGCAGTTCAACCTCGCTGTTGGATTTCACTTTCCGACTCTAAATGCTGAATGTAAACGAAAAGGGTAAACTCTGACACCAAGCTATCAAAAATCCATGTTTTCAACGGGACGCGCAGTCTGGGCTGCCCTCGGAGCCGTGTTGGGTTTCATAGTCTATTAGTGAAAAATCGGTGAATCTGAATACCATCTGTGCCAACTATAAAGCTATTAAAGATGTTATTTTTATGTTCCAGTGTTGTGAATAAATGGCTTGAGACTTGTTGCTGAAGATGTTTCCCTAACCCGGAGTTCCTGCGCAGTGAGGTGTTACTCTTGGGGTGGAGGAAAGGGGCTTGATTTGAAAGATGCCTGAAAAACACGTGGGCAAAAAGAGGGAAAAAATTGTGATTGGAGGGGGAAAACCCCTGCTGAGGTGTCACTGGAGTGAGTTATTTTGGGAGAAGCCCTCTGGGTGGCACTGCTCTCCAGGCTGTCCACAGAAGGAGGGATAACGGGGATAACGAAGGAGGGATAATGGGGATAACGGCAAGGGAGGTCCATAACTAGTCTTGCAAACAGCAGGCTTTATTTTTCACTTGAAGGCTGAAGTTCGTCCCATTCTCTCCCAGGTCTTTTCCCCGAAATTATTTGAACACACCACAGACTTTCATGTTGGGAATTCCATAACATTGGAAGGAATTGTTTCTTTGTTTTGTTTTGTTCTATTTTGTTATATTAAAAAAAAAATGTGCGTGGGGAGTCAGGACACCCGTTCCTCTATCTCAGTTCAACTGATCCAAATGCGTTAAGAGTTCCAGGGATTGTTTGCCAAAGAAACACCCTTTGTAAAAGTTGGCTACGGCTCTCGGGAGCAAATGTGGAATAAAAAGGATGTGTTAACCTAACTTGTAAAGTCAGCAGAGTCTTGGAGCAGGTTCGGAGCCCGCGTGGATGAGCAGGTACCGCTCCGCGCACATTCCCATTCCCATTTTCCATTAAGCTGCGTCACCCAGCTGAGCTGCTGTTGTCACGGTTCTCTTTTCCGTTCCAGGGCGCAGACCGGGGCCGCTCTTTTATGCTGGACTTCGTTGGGAACCGCTTTGCTTTATGGCTCCCCTTCCCCCCCACGTTTTCCCTCCCCCACCCCC